GTGTGTGTGTGTGTGTGTGTGTGTGTGTGTGTGTGCGTAGGAGGAGGGGCTTCCCGTTTCTGGCAGTCTGTGTGGACTTGCCTTACTTCTTCCTTCAGTATTGGGTAGAACCACAGAGAAGCCTTCTGAACTGGGATTTCTTTGTAGGGAGGTTTGTAACCAGAAATTCAATTTCTTTAGCAAACGTATTGCTATTTGGGTCATCTCTTCTTGAGTAAACTTGTGTATTTTTTAAAAATTTGTTCTTTTCCTCTGAATTGTTGGATTTAAAGGCATAAAATTGTTCATGATACTCCTTTATTAATGCTTTTAGTGTCTGGAATCTGTGGACATACCTACCTCTCTTATTCCTGATACTGGTAGTTTGTTTTTTTCCTCCTGATCTTCTGGCTAGGGGTTTTATTGCTATCAAAGAACCTGATGATTTTTCACAGCTGTTCTTCTGTTTTCTCTTTCATTAATTTTAGTGGTGATCTTTATTGTTTTCTTTTTTCCTGCTTATTTGGGTCTAATTTTTTTTTTTCTTAAACTAGACACTTGAAGCTGGGCGTGATGGCGCACACCTGTAATCCCAGCACTGAGGATGCTGAGGCAGGAGGATCACTGTGAGTCTGAGACCAGCCTGGGCTACATAGTGAGTTCCAGTTCAGTCTCAACTACATAGTGAGATCCTGTCTCAAAAAACAAAAAAACAAAGCAAAACAAAAGCTAGACACTTGAGATCTTTGATTTGAGCTGTTCTCCTTTTCTGGTATGGGGATGTAGCTCTGTAAATAAATGTCTCCCTAAGTACGCTTCTGTGACTTCCTCCAAGTTCTGATATTTTGTTTTCATTTTTATTCATTTCAAAATGTTAATTTCCTTTTAGGCTTCCTTTCCATCCTGAATTCTTGTTTTCTTTTTTCTTTTTAAATCCAGTGTTTGTTTGGGGGGATCTTTTATTTGTTTTTGAGGCAGGGTCTCCCTGTGGAATTCAGGCTGGCCTTGAACTTGCTATGTAGGCCAGGCTGGACTCACACTTGTGATGATGCTCCTTCCTTGGTCTCCAAAGCATTGGGATTACGGGTGTGTGTAATTGAGTCTTAGAAGTGTGTTGTGGGCCGGGGGTTTAGCTCAGTGGTTCCTCCACCTGCTTTGCAAATGCAAGGACCCAAGTTCAATCCCTGGTACTAAAAAAAAAAGAAGTGTGTTGTATAGTTTCCATATAGATGGGGATTTTCCACATATAATTCTGATCTCTTTAGTTCCATGGGGATTGTAATTTCATGCAGGTCCAGACTTTCTATGACTTGAATTGTTTTCTTGAGACTTAGTTTAGGGTTCAGCAGATGGACACTTTGTAGAGTTCCATCCTGGTACTGTCAGCCCGTCTTTGTTATGTTGGTCACATGAAAATGGTTGCTAGCATTATCCAAGTCTCCTGTATCCTTGCGGATTTTCTCTCTTGTTTACCCCTTGTTGAGAGAGGGGTGCTGGAACCCCTTGAGTATGAAGTATACTTTTGTCTAGTTCCATCAGTTTTTGCTTCATATTGTTAGCAGCTTTTCTATCAGGGGCCTAAATGTTAACCAATTTATTATTCTGAAATGACTTTTACCCCTAGAAATTACCTTTCTTAGAAATTTACTTTGATATTAAAATATCCCAGATTTTTTTCTTTTTTTAAAAAATCTTTAAAAATTTTATTAGTTCATGTCCTCAGTACATAATGATTACATTCATCATGGGGAGTTCCTTTTTTTTTTGTTTTTTTTAACTCTGGTCAAAAACACGCAACATAGCCAGGCATGGTGACACACACTTGTAATCCTAGCACTTGGGAGGCTGAGGCAGGAAGATTGCTGTGAATTCAAGGCCAGCCCGGGCTACATAGCAAGACCTTGAAAACCAAAAACTCAAAATGAAACAAAAAAAACCCACATTAAATAAGATTCATTATGTTAATTCTATTTTAGGTACAGTACAGGTACATTAACTACACACGTTCTTGTGTAGCACATCTCTAGAGCTTTTCTTTTGTTGTGTGGTGCTGCAAATGGAGCCTGTCTTGTTTACTTTTCTTGTTGCTAGAACAAAACACCTGATACCCAAAGTTAAAGGAGGGAGGTTTATTTGGCTCACAGTTTGGAGAAGTTTCAGTTCATAGTTGGCTGGCTATAAGGCAGGGCGGCATGGCTGAGGGGCAACAGAGGGGAAACAGTTCATGGCAGGCAGGAGGCAGCAAAAGCAAACCAGTGACCCACAAGTGACAGTAACAGCTTCTTTCTGTCCCTTTTATATACCCAGGTTAGGGCAGGTGCCAAACTAATTAGGGGGCTAATTTAATCATCGCACACCCTTAATCCTAGCATTGCAGCGTGAATCAGTCCCAGCATCACATGCTCTAGATCCAGCCACCTCTGAAAAGCCCACCTTTGACTGCGTGAGGCTTTGGGTGGACAGGTAGACACAAGCCATAGCAGAACCCAAGGCTGTCCATGCAAAGCGAGTGCTCTACCCCTGAGCTATGCCCCCTGCCCTTTTTATTTTACTTTACTTTATTTTTTCTTTTTTGAGCAGTATCTTGCTAAGTTGCCCAGTCGGGTCTCAGACTTGTGCTTCTCCTGTCTCAGCCTCCTGAGTAGTGTGCACTGGTGTACCCTGCTTTCTTCATGTTTTTTGTGATTGATCATGTTTTTGAACTTGGATCTGTGGGTTTGTAGTTTTCATCAGTTTCAGAAAGTAATTGACCATTATTTCTTCTGATACTTTTCTTTTCTCCCTCTCTCTTCTGCCTTTGGGGGATTCCAGTTTGCTTGAAGTTTATCCATAGCTTACCAGTTCTTTTTCCATTTTTTTGGATTGTTTGCATCTTATTTTGAGTAGTTTTTTCTTCTTCTTTCTCTTCCACTTCCTCTTCCTCTTCTTTTTATTTTTTAATTTTTTTGAGACAAGTTCTCAGTATATAGTTCAGCCTGGCCTTTAATTCACTATGCAGCCTCAAACTTATGGCAGCCCTCCTGCCTCAGCCTCCCAGAGTGCTGGGATTACAGGCGTGCACCACCACACCTGGCCCTTGAACAGTTTCTTGTGCTATTGCTTTTTTTTTAATTGTAGTAAAACTACTTACCATGAGACCCAGCCTCTTTAAAATGTTTGAAGTATACAATACAGTATAGTTAACTATAGGCACAGTGTTGTACAATAGATTTCTAGAACTTACTCTTTTTTTTTCCTTAGTATTGGGGATTGAACCCAGGGCCTTGTACATGCTAAGCATGTGCTGTACCTCCAAGCTGCAATACATCCTATATAATTGAAACAGTATATCTGTTGATTGGTGTATTTTTAAGTTAACTAATTTTTTTTTTGTCATGTCAAGTGTACCCTATAATTTTCATCTGAAACCTGAAGTTAAGATTTGGATCTCTTACATATTTGTGATTTTCCTTAATTTTTTGAAGACTTAGGTTGCAGTTTGTAATATGTGCAATGTAATCTCTTCAGTGCTCTTTCCTACTGATTCTGTCATCTCTGCATTTTTTGGGGGGGGGGTACTGGGGATCCAACTCAGGACCCTGAGCTTGTGAGGCAGGCGATGGAACCACTGAGCTAAATCCCTGGCCCCCCTCTGCATTTTTGAATCTCAGGTACACATTCTTTTTTTTGGTACGGGGGGTCGAACTCAGCGCCTCGCACTTGCCAGGCAGGCATTGTGCTGCTAAGCAACATCCCTGGCTCTCCTGTGATACATTCTTACATGATTGTGAGTCTACTGCTGCGTTGTATGCCTGCTAATGCTTGTCTGTATGTCAGACATTGGAACTTTTACCTTTTTGCCTAGTGTATATTTTTGTATTCCTCAAAATATCCTTGAGCTTTATTTTGGGAGGCAATAAGTTACTTGAAAACAATATAATCTTTCTGGTTCTTGTTTTTAAGATTTGTTAGGATTTGGAAGAGGATTAGTCCAGAGTTGATGTTTTCCACTGCTGAAACAAGATCCGTGCTGGTACCCCCATGGGTCCTAGGATTTCTACTCCAGCTGCTGGGATTATTAAGCACTATTCCTAGCTCAGTGTCAGCACTGGGCACTGTCTTCCCATGGTTTTGCATGACATTTCCCCCAGGCCTTGGGTAGTTTTCTCTGAAGCACATACTGATCAGTATTCAGCTGAATTCCCCAAGTGTCTCTGCTCATTGATCTCCACGGTGTTTTGTCCTGGGAACTCTGGCTGCATCAGTCTCCCTGGATTCTGTATCCCATCTCCTCAACCCAGGAAGTCCTCCTGGCTCCTCCGTGCTGTGTCCCTTGACTTGAAGTGTAGTATTTCACATTTTCTTCCTTTCTTTCTTCTACTTTAAATAGTGGGTTTGGGGTGTAAGCACAGTCCCTGCTGTTCCATGTTGGACAGAATGCAGAACACTCACTGTCTTCCCCGCAATAGCTGTTGCAGTGTTGGGTGTCTCGGGATTGTTTTGAGGATGCTGTCAGCCCACGGTTCCGGGCTTTGTGTGTGTCGGTGGTGTTTGTGAGGCCTCTCTTGTGCTGTGTGATAGTAGCACCAACACACATTTATTACCACCCGCTTCCCGTGAGTCAAATGTCCAGGCGTGGCTTGGCAAGGTCCTCCCCTCAGGGTCACACGGGCCGCAGTCCAGTTGTCAGCCGGAGCTCTGGTTCAGTCCAAGACCTGCGTGGGAAGAATCTGCTTCCAAGCTCATGTGGCTGTTGGCAGCACCCATTTTCTTGCGGGCTATTGGACTGAGATTCTTGCTGATTCTTGGCTAGAGGCCACCCTTAGCTACTTGCCCTGTGGTCCTTCCCAGCATGGCCACTTCATCAGAGCCAGCAAAGGACTGAGTCTCATAAGTGGATTATAATCTTGTGTGATGTTATTGAGGGTGTGATATTCCATCACATTTGCCATATAATTGTTATCGTCATCATCATTACTATTATTATTTGTGGTGTTGGGAACTGTACCCAGGGCTTTGTGCGTCCCAAACAAATGCTTTCTACTGAGCTATACCCTACCTTTGTGTTGTTCTGTTGGTTAGAAGCAAGTTTCAGGGCACCCACACTCAAGGGGAGAGGAGAGTGAATGTCAGGAGGCCAGGGCTCCAGGGCCGCCTCAGAGTCTGTGCTGCAACTTCTCGGGTGGTGGGCTACTGCAAGGAACACAGTCTGGGCTCTGATAAGCTTTATAATTATAGTTTTATTCAGTTGTCTTTTTGTTTTTTTGTTTTTGTTTGTTTGTTGTAATTTAATTTATTGGTACATTCTAGGTATACAGTACAGTTACATTCATTACTGGGATCTTGTACCTTTACATGCCAGGTCTTGGTTCTCATTTTTTCCCCTTGTCCCCACCCTCCCTTCACCCTTCTCTTAATTCTTTTTATTCCCTTTCCCTTCCCCTCCCCCACTTCAAACACTTTAATTCCATTTTTTTGTTTGTTTTTTTGAGATAGAGAGTCTTGCTCTGTAGCCCAGGCTCGCCTCGAACTCATGGTGATCCTCCTGCCTCAGCCTCCTCAGTGCTGAGATTTCAGGTGTGTACCACCATGCCCAGCCATCCAATTGTCTTTAAAATCAAGTGTGAGAGAGACATGAACACAACACACATTCAGTACTGTCTCCTAATTACCTATGTAGTTAATTTTGTTGGTGCTCTTTGTTTCTTTCATGTGGACCCAAGTTACTGTCTAGTATCCTTTCATTTCAACCTGAGGGACTCTAGTATTTCTTGAAGGGCAAGTCTGCTGGCAGGGAATTTTCTAAAGTCTTTTTTTAGCTGGAGTTATTTTAACTTCTTCATTTTTAAAGGACAGTTTTGCTGGCTCTAGAAATCTTAGTTGTTAGTTATCTTTCAGCACTCAGGCTGTTGTTTCTGCCTGCCGACCTCCATGGTTTATTTCTTTTTGTGCCTGTGCAGTATTGAGAGTTGAACCTAGGGCTTCAAGCATGCTTGGCAAGTGCTCTACTGCTGAGCTGTTTCCCCAGCTCTTTATATTTTTCAGTTTGAGACAGGGTCACACTAAGTGGCCCATGCTGGCCTCAAACTTGAGACCTCTTGCCTCAGCCTCCCTAGTACCTGGGGTTACATGTGTGTGCCAACATGCCCAGATAATGTCTTTTGTTCTCTGTGGCCATCACTAAAGTCTTTCCTCAGTTTAGTGCCCTTTAGTGATCAGAGAGTGCCTTGAAGCCTCTGAACTCATCCGTCTCGATTTGCCAAGCTGCCGAGTTGCATGTTGAATGTGCTTTTAGCCCATAGCCAAGCCATCCGTAGCTCTTGGCTTTTGCCTCCCATTTGCACAGAACCTCAGAGTGGGCCCGTGGTGAGAGCTGAGGTCATCCAGTCCTGCCCAGGCTCTCACACAGCCCTGCACATGTGTGATCTTCCAGGTCAGAGCCCCAAGGACATCTTGTTCTCTAGCTTTCCTCTAGCTTTTTGGTTATCCTGCCATTTGCTCCAGCTGTTGTCCACTGCCTGAGAGAGCCACGATGTTGCCTCTGCTTGTTTTCAACAAACACCTCAGAGAGAAGGTCGGGTGAGCTCCGAATCACTCAGGTCAGGTGTTCCTGTGAGCAGGGTCTACGGGGGAAGTGTGGCACTGGTTAGAGGATCAGTCCTGGGAATGGTTTGCAGGAGCCCCTCAGTGGCTGCCAGGCAGCTGCTTCAGGTGGCTGCGTGGTATGTGTGGTGGTGTTGGGGAGTGACAAGGTGCATTAAATGCTGCAGTGCTCAACCTTTTTTCTTGAGTAAATTCTCCTCAAAGTGCTGTGAGGATTGGTGAGCATCCAGAGTTGTGAACAAGTCGGTTCTGCCAATGTTTGTGTTGTGCAAGTGGAGGAGACTTTCCTGAGGTGTCACTCTGCCGTTTCCACTGACCCCTACCTGTCTGTCTCTCTGTCTGTCTTTCTTCCCTTGAACCCAGTGTCCTTGCACTGAGCTACATCCCCATCCTTTTTTTCTTACTGCCTCAGCCTCCCAGAGTGCCAGGATCACAGGTGTGTATCACCATACCTGGCTCTTAACTCTAAGTGCATCACTTACTGGTAGTCAGAAGGAGGCCCCTCCCCTCTGCATCCACAGGGCCACTGGTGGCCCCTCCTGCTTGGTTGGGGAGCTGGGATGATTTCTTGGATGTGTTTCTACCAGGAAGTCTGATTTTGAGGTGAGGCATAACTCAGTGATAGAGTGCTGGGCTGGCATGTCAGGCACTGAGTTTTATCCTCAGGTGTGTTAACAAAATAAGACAAAACAGAACCAAAAGAAGTCTGGTTTCTCTTTATACTGTGAAGTCCTGTCTCTAATTGAAAGGCTTCAATTATCTGAAGCCTGGTGTTGTGGTTTGGGTCTGGACATGCCCCCAAAGCCACATGCAGTCAGAGGAGGCTGAACCTGGATTGTGTGATGCTGGGATTAAGGGTGTGTGCTTATTGATCACAAAGAGTGAGTGATTGGTTTGTCAGCACCCTAATCCCAGGAGTCTGGTTGGGATAAAGTGGACAGGGAGAAGCTGTTAAGGTCCCTTGTGGCTTTTGCTGGTTTCTGCCACCATGAACTCTTACCCCTGACACACTTCCTTGAAGCCAGCTCATTATGGACTGAAACCTCCATGAACTGTAACCGAAATAAACCTTTCCCCCTTTAACTTTGGGTGTCGGTATTTTGTCTCAGCAAGGAGAGAAAACTAAGACATCTGGTCACAGTTATGGGTCCTCTGGGGCACTTTCCCTAACCCCTCTGAAAAGTCTGTCTTCAGAAATTTCTCAAGATATATGTCTGTAACATAGAACATGTGTGCCTTTGTAGCATAATTCACCCAGGTAGCAGGTGAAAAGGGCAGGATTTCTTTTTCTTTTTTTGTGGTGCTTGGGATGGGGCCCAGGGCCCTGAATGTGCCAGACAAACGCTCTACCACTGAACCACATCCCTAGCCCATACCTGCCCTCTGGAGCCACGCACTTTACGTAGGTGATCATTCACTTCCCATGACAGTTGCCTGCAGTACAGGTGTGGTCCCCAGGAGTCTACAGCGAGAGGTGTAGGGATGTGGTTGCCTCAGGTGCACTGCCTCTCCTATAGCTGGCTTCATGTTTCAAGGAAGAACACCTGGCGCAGAGGTTTCGTGTTGTCAGACGCGTGGAGGTTTTTCTCTGAGAGGACACTCGGCAATCAATTATTGTCTGTGTTCAAGAAATGAAACCTTACAGAAGAATTAAATTTTAAATCCAAAAATAACACAGATAGGATATCTACAAACAGGAAGGCTTGGAACGGCTCCAAAGAGGAGTTCTTTTTGGTGACCGAAGGTCAAATGGCCAGTGCTTGGAGACACAGGTGAGCTGGCACCATGACCTCGTGATGTCCTTTCCAGGTCTTTATTCCTGGTGCAGATCTATTCCACAGTGGTAATGCAAGACTAGCTGTGGCCACTGGCTTGGCTCTCTTTCAGTGTCATCGTAAATGTAGCAGAAATGGACTTGTGTGCTTATTGATCACAAAGAGTGAGTGATTGGTTTGTCAGCACCCTAATCCCAGGAGTCTGGTTGGGATAAAGTGGACAGGGAGAAGCTGTTAAGGTCCCTTGTGGCTTTTGCTGGTTTCTGCCACCATGAACTCTTACCCCTGACACACTTCCTTGAAGCCAGCTCATTATGGACTGAAACCTCCATGAACTGTAACCGAAATAAACCTTTCCCCCTTTAACTTTGGGTGTCGGTATTTTGTCTCAGCAAGGAGAGAAAACTAAGACATCTGGTCACAGTTATGGGTCCTCTGGGGCACTTTCCCTAACCCCTCTGAAAAGTCTGTCTTCAGAAATTTCTCAAGATATATGTCTGTAACATAGAACATGTGTGCCTTTGTAGCATAATTCACCCAGGTAGCAGGTGAAAAGGGCAGGATTTCTTTTTCTTTTTTTGTGGTGCTTGGGATGGGGCCCAGGGCCCTGAATGTGCCAGACAAACGCTCTACCACTGAACCACATCCCTAGCCCATACCTGCCCTCTGGAGCCACGCACTTTACGTAGGTGATCATTCACTTCCCATGACAGTTGCCTGCAGTACAGGTGTGGTCCCCAGGAGTCTACAGCGAGAGGTGTAGGGATGTGGTTGCCTCAGGTGCACTGCCTCTCCTATAGCTGGCTTCATGTTTCAAGGAAGAACACCTGGCGCAGAGGTTTCGTGTTGTCAGACGCGTGGAGGTTTTTCTCTGAGAGGACACTCGGCAATCAATTATTGTCTGTGTTCAAGAAATGAAACCTTACAGAAGAATTAAATTTTAAATCCAAAAATAACACAGATAGGATATCTACAAACAGGAAGGCTTGGAACGGCTCCAAAGAGGAGTTCTTTTTGGTGACCGAAGGTCAAATGGCCAGTGCTTGGAGACACAGGTGAGCTGGCACCATGACCTCGTGATGTCCTTTCCAGGTCTTTATTCCTGGTGCAGATCTATTCCACAGTGGTAATGCAAGACTAGCTGTGGCCACTGGCTTGGCTCTCTTTCAGTGTCATCGTAAATGTAGCAGAAATGGACGAACCAGAGCCTCTGTAGACTGAGGCTTCCCTTTCCCCCAGGTGCTTCTGCCGACGGCCCTCTGAAGTTGCTGCCCGAGAGCTACTTTGACATGGTGGTCATTGACGAGTGCGGCCAGGCCCTGGAAGCCAGCTGCTGGATCCCTCTGCTGAAGGCCAGGAAGTGCATCTTGGCTGGAGACCACAAGCAGCTGCCACCCACCACAGTCTCACACAAGTAAGACCTTGAGCCCTCAGCCTTTCCCTGCCACTCGCCTGTCAGCCCTGCTTGCCGTCCTTCAGGTCCAGCCATGGACGTACCTGTGAGGCGTCCTGTGCACCTTTCCCGGTGACATCTCCCACCTAGTGCTTTTGTACCTGCTCATTTGAATGGCTGACTGGATAGATCATCTTTGTGCCTGGCATGTCCCCTGGTCAGGCAGGCAGGCTGGCTTGGTGGTATAGGCAGGAGAGCTGCTCTGTTACTGGACTCACTGCGGTTAGCTCAGTTCACTCACCTCAGCCTCAGATGGGCTCTGTGGTCCCCATTCTGCAGGTAACCTTGACAGAGGACATGGGGAGACTCGGGAGACCCCGTGGGGGTGTTGTATCTTCTCTCTTTTGGTGGTGACCCGACACAGCCTTTGTGGGGTGGAGGAGGCACTCTTGCCAGCAGCCCCGCTCCATCTCATTTCCCATTCCATCCTTCGCTGCCCCAACCACGTTGTCCGCCTTGAACTGTGACGTCCCCTCTGCCTGGACCACTTCCTCCACCCCCACGTCGGGCAGCCCCGCCCTCCCTGTCTCGGTCACTTTCCTGATTGCTGAGATAATACCCAACACGCATAATTTTATTTTGGCTCACGTTTTTAGTCCATGATTGGGTCCAAGGCAGGATGGGTTGGCACAGGGCCAGGGTGGAGAACTAGCTGCTTACCTCATGGCAGACAGGAAGCAGAGTCAAGGAAGGAGCCGAGCAGGGAATAGAACTTTCTAGGTGATTCCCACAGTGATCCACCTCTTCTAACCAGTCCCCACCTCCTAATAGCCATCAGCGGTAATGCCTCTGTGATCCAGCCACCTTCCAGAGGTCCCCCTGTGATCGCCTGAGGCTTTCAGGGGACATCTAGATGTAAACCATAACGTCCCTTCAGGTGAAAGCTTCTTGTGGCCCCAGCCTGGCTGTCCAAACAGAACCATCCAATCCCTCATCTGGCTCATTTAGTTCTGTCAGCAGGACCTCCTGCCTCAGTCCTGTGTTCGTGTGTTTATTTGTTTATCTTCTATCCAGAGTCAGCTACTGGAGCCTGTGGGTAGGCCTGGCATGGGGGCGATCTTTGAACATGCAGACTCAGGTCCAGAAAGGTAGCCCCAAGGAACAAGGCTCCCCTGGGCTCTGTGCCCTGGCCCTCCCTTCCCTCTGAGGATGGTGGCTTCTTCCTGGCTTCTGCTGGCTCTCTGACACCATCAGTACTCAGTGTCTGTGCAGAAGTCAGCACTGAACCTGGAACTGGTGGTTTTCTCAGGACCAGAAAGAGCTGAGCAAGTGGAATCTTCTGAGGGGAACAGGCGGCCCAGGTGCCCAGAGAGAGAGGAGTCAGTCGTCCCTGAACCAAGGATTTGGGTGGAAATGTCTGGAGTGGGCTGGAGAGGAGAGCTGGGGAGGTTGTCCTGTTGGAGCAGAGGGAAGTCACAGATGTCTCTTGCCTTGGTTCTCCAGGGAGATTTATCAAGGGGTTCCCAGAAAGGCTGTATCCTCCAGGAAGCTTGGAGGAGGGAACCTAGAGATGTGCCTTGGGGAACAAGATCCTATGTGCGCCTGGAGAGGGGGGAGCTTGGGGGGTGATATGTCTGGGTTTGCAGGTGGGGCTAATAATCATCTCATGTCTTCCTTTAGCTTTGAATGTTTCTGGTAGCGATGGTTATTAGGAATCACTTAGTTATAGAGTCCTTTGCGTTTCCAGAGGGTGGGGCCCTGGAGTCTCTTTCCCAGATTGGGCTCTTTCCCACAGTTCTAGTGGTCACCACTTGGCATGAAATGCTGTGCCGCATGTCCCTGAGTCAGGTGTCCTGGATGGATTCTGGCTGTGCAGCCTTGGGCTGCCGCCTTAACCTTTCTGGGTCTCACTCCTTGTGTGTAACATGGAAGTCATTTCAGCTGCCGCCTCCTGGAGTGGTGAGGCTGTGGTTCTGGGAGTGGTGCAGAGCCCAGAAAGTGCTCTAAGTGCTAACTGTTCATGACAGTGGGTGGCTAGGACTGCTAGAGTACTGCTAGAGTAGTACAAGTCGTAAAAACTTACCTGTAGTAGTTTCCTGTCACCACTGTGACAGGATGTGACTAAATAGTTTTAGGATCTTACAGTTCAGGAGGTCAGGTGTCAACATTGGTCTCTCTGGCTTATTAGAATGAAAGTGGCAGGGCTGGGTGGTCTGGAGGCTCCAGGCAGTACTGTTTCCAGCTGCTAGTGGCCACTGCTTTGTTGGCTCAGGGCCCTTCCTCGTCTTCCAAGCTGGTGTGTGGCATCTTCAACTCTGTCTTGTCACACGGCCTTCTCTGACTCTGGCCCTTCTGCCTGCCTCTTACAAGGCCCTGTGATTATTTCCCAGTTAATACAGGACCCTCTCCCCACCTGCAGAGTCCCTCTTGTCGCATATGGGAACATCGTCTGAGGTCCTGGAGATCAGGACATCTTGGGGGGTGGGACTTGGTGACCCCACCCTTCCTCTTGGATGGGATGCGTTGGGTCTGTTTGAGGCAGCCTTCTCTGCTCACCCTGCTTTCACGTTGACCGAGGACTCAGGCCGTTCCTCCCACTCCTCCCTTGTTGCAGGGCAGCACAGGAAGGGCTGTCGCTGAGCCTGATGGAGCGCCTGGCTGAGGAGCACGGAGACAGGGTGGTGCGGACATTGACCGTGCAGTACCGCATGCACCAGGCCATCATGTGCTGGGCCTCAGCGGCCATGTACCTTGGTCAGCTCACGGCCCACCCATCGGTGGCGGGGCACCTCCTGAGGTGAGTGACCTGCCCTGCCCCAGCTTCCCTCTTGTCCCAAGTGAAATGTGTCCCGTTGAGATTTTAGAGCACAAGTGCAGCCTTGCCCGTCTGATGCTCTGGGTGCCTGCCGTAGGCCTGGTGGGAACAGCCTGTGCTATCGTGTGGTTCAGCGCTGCTCTTTGCCTGTGTGCCAGGGACCTGCCAGGCGTGGCTGCCACAGAGGAGACGGGCATCCCCCTGCTGCTTGTGGACACTGCCAGCTGTGGGCTGTTTGAGCTGGAGGAGGAGGACGAGCAGTCAAAGGGGAACCCGGGTAAGCTCACTGGCCGGGGCTGGCTTGGCCCTCACACAGACTTGGGCTCCTCTTTGGACCTGGTGGCTTCAGGTTGTCCCACTCAGGGTGGTGCTGAGAGCTGGCTTGGGAGGACGAGAGCTGGGCTCCACCCTCTTCCCGGGCTGGAGGCGTGTCAGGGCAGCAGTTCACGGCCGTCCCCCAGGCACATGGCTATGGCCTGGTCAGTCTCGAGCCGAGCTTCTTAGCCCCCAGCACACCCCTGGATAGCCATGTCATCCTGTCGGGGTGAACACCATTCACTGGCTCCTGTGTGCAAGGCCTGGCAATCTGACTGGCGACACAGGCTCAGTGACAAGAGGTGAGCACAGCCTGTCCCTGCCTGACAACCTGTCCTCTCTCCCCTCCAGGTGAAGTCCGCCTCGTCAGTATGCACATCCAGGCTCTGGTGGATGCTGGTGTCCAAGCAGGTGACATTGCTGTCATCACACCCTACAACCTCCAGGTGTGAGGGACCCCCTTGTGGCCCCCTTTTGTCCTCCTCTGTACCAATAAGACTCAGCCAACCCAAGTTGTTTAAAGAAGGTGGGTTCATGCCTGTAATTCCAGCACTTGGGAGGCTGAGGCAGGAAGATCACCCCAAGTTCAAAGCCAGCATGAGTTACATAGTGAGACCCTATCAAAAATAAAACAACAACAAAGAGCTTAAAGAAAATGGTAGGGCCAGGGATTTAGCTTGGTGCTGTCATCTGCCTCACGAGCCCAAGGTCCCGAGTTTGATCCCCAGTACGAAAAACAAACAAACAAAAAGACAGAAACAGTAATTTATTGACTATGGTGACCAAAAAGCCCAGGGTTAGAGTTGACTTCATCACGGCTCACTGCCCAAATGCCATTAGAAACAACTGTCTGTGTTCCCTCTCACTCATGCCCTGCCCTACCCTGTCCTGATCTACAGCCTGACTCCCCGAGTGCCAGCCTTGTGTTCAGGCAGTGTCCCCAGGTGGCCTGGCAACCTCAGGGTGGGCTCGTCCTCTCACAGCTGTCTTGGCGGTATAACCTCGGCTTTGGCTTCACTGTCCTGGCCCAGGTTGCCTCCCTATCCCTGCTTTGCTTGGTAAGAACACGCCTGTGTGAGTGCTGTGTCCTCTGATGTCACCTGTCCTGGCTCCCAATGTCACACATGGGAGCCTGAGGCTGGTGGCTGTCAGGAGCCAAAAGCAATGGTGAGCCTCGGTGATGGCTCATATTTGACAGCTTCGTGTTCTCTGCCTGTCCCTGTGTCCCTGGAAGAAGGGCAGGCATGGGGACTGGGCCTGCGGGCTCCTTCTAGGCTTGCAAAGCCCCCCTGTCTTGTGGGGGTGACCAGGCTGTGGCCGTGCTTCTGTTTCAGGTGGACCTGCTTAGACAGAGCCTCGGGCACAAGCACCCTGAGCTGGAGATTAAGTCCGTCGATGGCTTCCAGGGCCGGGAGAAGGAGGCTGTGGTGTTGTCCTTCGTCAGATCTAACAGGAAAGGTATGAGGCCTGCTCGTAGCTTCCTAGGGCCTCCTAGGGCCACACAGAAGTGAATGCCCTGGTTCCGAGGCCCTCAAGCGTTCTGCCTGTTCCGGCCAGAGTGGTGTGGAGCAAGGACAAGGGCAAGGTGTGATGAGGTCCCTGATAGGACCCCTGAGCAGACAGGAACTGTCCTGGGGGTGGCATCCTAGCAGCTCTGCTGAGGCTGAGCCCTCATTGGCCTGGTGAGGTAGTGAGAGGAGGACATGTGTTTCAGGCAGAGGGAACAGCGTCTGAAGATTCTGGCACAAGTGAACGGTCAGGGAGCTGGTGTGGGGGTGGCGAGGAGTATGAGGTGGGCTGGAAATGGCTGGGACACCCTGTCAAGGAGGTGGAGTCCCACCTTAAAGCCTAGAGCTTGTCTTCTAGCTGCAAGGCATAGCTGTGGCAATAAGAAAATGGTGCCCAGAGGTCAGCTTTAGCCAAGGGCTTGGGAAGCATCTTCAGGAGAAGTCGAGCCCTTCACCTTGCCCCTGGAGAGCCAGCTTCTGCCCCTCCCCAGCTGTTTCCCACATCTGGGCCGAGGCAGGAGGAATCCATCAGCACCTGGATCCAGCGACAGCTCAAGAGCCTCCAGCCCATTTCAGTGCCACCCAGCCACACTCAGCAGCAGCAGTGGCAGAGTGCTGAGCAGATGTGGCATCAGCTGGGCCCTGGGGACACCCAGTGGCCACATGGAGGGCAAGCACAGATGTGGGGTGCAGGCTTGGGGTCCCGAGGCTGCAAAGTACTAAGGAATCTGCTTCCTGTTTCTCACTTAGATCTGCCCCCTCTGCTCTGGCCCTTTAGGTGAGGTTGGTTTTCTGGCCGAGGACCGGCGGATCAATGTTGCTGTCACCCGCGCACGGCGCCACGTAGCACTCATCTGCGATTCCCGCACTGTCAACACCCACCCCTTTTTAAAGGCCCTGGTGGATTATTTCACCAAGCATGGGGAAGTGCGCACAGCCTTTGAGTATCTTGATGACATCGTCCCTGAAAACTATGCCCATGAGGGTTCCCAGGGCCACAGCCAGGCTGCTGCGAAGCCTAGAGGGCCCATTCCCTCAGCCAGGAAGCCGCCTGGAAGTGGGCGGCAGAAGGGTGGCCAGGGGGCTGGAGCAGCTGCCGGGCAGCAGCGGAGGAAGCCAGGCACAAAGCCTTCAGAGCCTTCTCAACCCAGCCTCAATGGGGACAGCCCCTTGGGCCCGAGAGGTGAAGACGGCACAGAGCGCTTCAGGGCCATGATCGAGGAGTTTGTGGCCTGTAAGGAGATGCAGTTGGAGTTTCCTGTGTCCCTTAATTCTCATGACAGGCTGCGGGTCCACCAGATAGCTGAGGAGTACGGGCTGCGACATGACAGTGCCGGGGAGGGGAAGGCGAGGTACATCACTGTGAGCAAGAGGGGACCTGTGGGTGTTGGCAGCAGAGCTCCTCTCCTTCCCGTGCCTTCTGGTCCGGGGCAGCCAGAGCAGACCCCTGGGGAGCAGTGCAGCCAGACCCCACTGGACCTGAAGGCGCTGCACCTGGAGAAGCTGCAGAAGGCAAAGGGCACCCAGGAGCAGCCAGACAAGAAGGGGCAGCCAGTCATGGGCTCCGGGCGGCAGAAGTTTCCAGAAAAGAAAAAGAAGAAAGAAGTCAAGGGTAAGTTTTATCAGCTGTGGGAGCATGGGTGTAGTGTCTTTTTACCTGAAACCAGCCACCCTCAGAACGAGTTAGATTTCTGTGGGTGGCACTGCCACCTGTCATGTTGCACTGTATTTTTATGTTTTGTTTTTGTTTTTGGTACTCAGGATTGAATTATAGACCTTGTGCTTGCGAGGCAGATGGCAGAACCACTGAGCTAAATCCCCAGCCCTACACTGTTATTTTTAATCATGTTACTTGCTCCTGGCTCTCTCTGGGCTCCCCTGGGCCTGAATGACAGGCTCCTTCCTGGGCCCAGAGCCTTGGGCAGGACCTGGCAGGTGGGAAGCACTTGCAAAGGGGCGGGAGCTGCAGTCCCTCTGGGGTCGGGCAGTGCTTACAGGCTCCTACTGTAAGGGTCCTGGCCAGCCCGCAACATGCCTTGGAAGCTGCCCTGCCCACAGTACTCAGCACCCTGGGGCTCACTGAGCTTACTGTTGTGCAAGGCCCTGCTGGGCCCCAGGATCAGCCATATACTCCTCCCATTCATCCTGTGCTGTGCCTGGGGCAACCCGGGGCATTTGGTGTACGTGCCCTGATGCTGAGTGTACCCCAGTTGGCCACAGCCTGGATTTTCTGGACACTGTTACAGCTTCATCCCCGTCTGCAAGATCACAAGGGAGGTTGGTTCTCTTTCATCCATTAGCTCCTGAAAGCAAAGTGTAAGCCTCCAGCCCTGCCCTCCAAACATGGCGTTGTAGCAGAGAGAGACCTGCTCTGTTTTTAAGCTGAGACTGGGGATATGATTCTTGCCCCAAAGGGGAAGGTGCCAAGCTGCTATGACAATGGGATAGGACCTCTCCTAGAAGGGGCAGTGGGTGCTCACCTGTGCTTTGGTGTCACAAGGACGGGGCATCTTGGGGATCCCTGCCCCACTCAGGAAAGCTGGCACTATTCACCTGTGGAAGTGCTCCTTTGGCGGATGGCTTTCCAGGTGCCTTTTGCCACTCCAGCTTCGGACATGGTCTGTTTGCGGGGTGTCAGGCTCTGTGCCAGTATCCTAGGGAGTAGCTGAGAGTAGCCTTTGTGACAGAGGCAGGCCAACCAGCTCTGCCATGGCCCTTCCCTTGGGGTTGGGGTGGCCCTGCTATCCCACAGCAGCACAGATGCGTCACGTGAGCTCCCAGCAGAAGCTGGGGTCAGGTGGTGAGTGACAAATGCCATCCTGTGCCTGCTGGATTTCCCAGTGTCCTCTGACCTCTCCCTCGCTGCTGGGGCCTGAGCATGCTCTGCCTGCCAGCTGGGTCTCTGTCTCCTGAGGATGCTTGCTGCCACCAGTTGCTGTGGCACCTTCTCCAGGCCTCTTGGTTCTGCCCTAGTACACTTTCTTCCTTCCTCTCAGGTGAAAGTACCTGCTTGGGTTTGAAATGGCCACCACCGACCAGAGCCCTTGGGGGTGTGCTGGGCCTCTGGGAGCCCCTGGGCTATGTCCATACCTCGGAGGCCTCCTGTTCTGATCTGTGTGGCTGGTTACCGTGCACACCCCTGCATGTAGGAACAGCACGGGGAGCGATGGGACAGAAACCAGTGCTGCCTGAGCGTGTCCCTCCCGGAGCTCGGCTGCATTACCACTTGGGAATCCCCACCCGTCTGTCTCCTGCGTGTCTTCACGTGTGTGAATGAGTGTTCATGGTACACGCGCATTTTACAGAATTAAACTGTACGGAGCCTGCAGCTCTTTCCACTCATGAGCATTTCTTATTCTTACACTTCAAAACATTTTCTTACATCTGTTGAAAAGGTTGAGGTCCCCCCGTGGGACTGGTGAGTGCTGTGGGTCCTGGAATTGGGCTTCTGTGTTGGTTTGGGGTTTTATTATTGCAGTTGATGCCATGGGCGCATCCCATGTTTAAACAGGGTTCTGGGTGAGACAGGGCACCTTCCAAAGGCGCTGTGTGCTGCCAGCCCTATTCTGAAGGTCCTGCCGTCCTCCTCCCAGTGTGCGGGACCACATTGGCTGTAGCAGGGTGTTGGGGGTCAGTGGCCCAGGGAAGATGAGGGTGAGTCGGAGGACGCAGCCTGGATGTTCTCCTGAGCGTCCTGTGTGGTGGGGCTGGAAGCAGGAACTGGGACGGACACATAGGGGACATGGCCCAGCTGCGGCTTTGCTGTGGGCCGGGCGGGAGAATCCGGTCTGCACGTTCCCTGCTTGCCTGAATGGCTCTTTCTCCCCAGGACATCTGGCCAAGGGTCTGCCTGCCGAGGAGGACTTTGACGCCTTGGTGTCGGCTGCCGTTAAGGCCAACACCACCTGCGGCTTTGCCAAATGTTCGGCCAGTATCGTGACTTTGGGACAACTCTGCCAGTTCTGTGGCCACTGCTACTGCCTCAGCCACCACCTGCCCGAGGTATTCGGGCCCCTCCCTGGCTGGATAGTGGGAAAGCACACGCCGGGCAGGCCTGCCCCAGGCAGTACACGTTCTCACGTCCTAAGGGGTGTTTTCCTCAAAGACAGAAGCAGGCGTTGAGTCAGGGTTTGTTGTGAATACCTGGGGCATGGAAAGTAAGATGCTGTCTTTGCTGAGTTTGAGCCATGCTGGTGGGAATCTGGTTGGAGAGGATGTGTCCTTGGGCTCTGTCGGGTTGACCTGGCCTAGTGTAGGGCCGTGGGAGGGAGGACTTGTGGCCCATGGGTCAAGATGGCAGCAGCCCAGTGGCCTTTTCATTCCCTCCTGGAATGTGTGTCACTGAGACTTCTCAGAGGCAGGCATGGGAACCTTTGGGGAGCTGGACTGGAGCGGATCCCATCTCTGCCGTGGGGTCACCGGGCCTGGTGTTGTCTGGGGACGAGACAACGTAGGGTATAGTCCAGTGCACTGAGTGCCCTGAGGAGGAAACCCAGGAGCCAGGACAGCAGCAGGAGACCTCCCCACACAGGGTGGGCCGAGACCCAAGGTGTGGGAGGTGGGCTGAGGGCAGGAAGGCAGCCCATCCAGCCTGCAGAAGCCATGAGTGTAGTCAAGGAGCTGGAGCTGTGGCAGAAGGGCGGGCAGGGGAAGTAGAGGCTGGGTAGGACCTGGGTACAGGTTTGGTTATGAAGTGGAGGCAGCACTGAGGTGTAAGCAGGGCCGTGATGTCACCGTGGCTGCAGCACAGAGGAGCTTGAGCCCAGGGCACAGTGGGAGGTAGCTGTAGGATCTGTGTGGTCAGCTGGGGTGCTGCTTCCTGTGCGTACTCTGCAGTGGGTGTGGGGGTGGAGGAGGAGCCTCTGCAGGGTCTCACGCTTGGACTCGCCAGGCCCCCAAGCTCTTTGATGGCAGATGTGCAGGCACCTGTGTGTGTGTCCCCACCTCACCCCATGCAGCCCACCTGACTCTTATGTCCTCCTCAGATCCACGGCTGCGGTGAGAGGGCTCGCATCCATGCCCGACAGAGAATCAGCCGGGAAGGAGTCCTCTACGCTGGCAGCGGGACCAAGGACAGGTCCCTGGACCCTGCCAAGAGGGCCCAGCTCCAGAGGAGGCTGGATAAGAAGCTGGGGGAGCTCAGCAGCCAGAGGGTGAGCAAGAAGAAGGAGAAAGGGACGTGATGGTGGCCACCTGGAGGGAGAGCCTGCAGCCGGTACCCAGCCCAGGACACAGCCTAGCCCACTGTGTCCCCCAGGCCAGGGCACGGGGTCCTCAGGGTAAAGCTTTCCCAGCCTGGGGATCTTTCCCCAGCTTCTTCCCCTACTCCCAGTGAGACCTGGAATCTCCGCCTATAGGTCTCAGGGCGGGTCCTATTTCCTGGAGATGTGCCTGGTGTCGGACTCTCACACTGGCCCCCTGTGTGTCCGGCAGGCTTCAGTGCATTAGGATGAGGGCACAGAGAGAAAACAAGAGGCCCAGGTGCTCTGAATGCCCCAGGCCCGAGAAGGGCCTTTCTGCCCACGAGTCCCCTCTGGCCAGCTGTAACTACCTTCCTCTGTCCCCTGGCACCTGTGCTGATCCTTTCCCTGCAGGCTGTGGTTAGGGAGGCCTCTGGTGTGTGCTCGCCCTCCCTCTGTCATGGGCTGGGGGACTGAGTGAAGTAGCTGTTCCCTGGGTGCCCTCCGAGAGAGCACTGTCCCAGACCATCTGTGTCACTGACGCCTACGGATATGAACCTCTCTAAGCACTCTGCCCAATATTTATGAGACCCTCAACAGAGGTATTTCAGTCTTAGGCTCTTATTTCAAAAGGACATAAATTATTTTAAAATGAAATAAAAACACATGTGCTTGCAATCCATAGTATGCTTGCTGTGTCTCAGGTGAACCTTTCCCTTTCCTGCTCCAATGTCCCTTTCCTGGAGTGGGCACCCAACACAGGATGAGCTGACATTTGCTGTCGTTGATATTTGAAATGTCATTGACATTTGCTGTCAACCTTCGGGGGCGTCCAAGAGCATTGGTGTAGGAGGCACACAGGTGGGTGGAGGTGTGGGTGTGCAGGCCCGGGACATCCCTGTTCTGTGCATCAGATGATGAGGGCAGGGAAAGATAACTTTTGCTTGAATTTTTTTTAATTTTTATTTTTTGAGAGGGTTGTGCTATGTTGTTCAGGCTGGTTTTGAACTCATTATGTAGCCCAGGGTGGCCTCAGACTTGTGATCCTCTTGCCTCAGCCTCCCGAGTGCTGGGATTATAGGTGTGCACCACCATGCCCAGCTTTACTTAACTTTTCTACCCATGAGAAGGGGGTTTGTAATTGGAAAGTTTAGTGCTATAAAACTGCTAAGGAAATCAGATGCAGGCAGGGTGGAAAGAGCGAAAGGCTGCCTTGTGGACATGGTGACCTCCTTCCTGGTCCACCATGGTTTCCACTAAGGAGAGGGAAGAACCAGTCTGAAGCCTCCCTGTGCTCCGTCTGGTCTGTCCTCTCAGCCACAGGGCCTCAGGGCTGACCCTGCCTTCCTCCCTGCTGCACTCTCCTGACTCCGGCCTTTGCCCACTGTCCTACATGTCTTTTGGGCCATTTACATTCCCTGCAGCCTTCAGAGTGCCACTGAGCTTCCCTGACCTGCAGAGGAGGTTCCCTGACTTGGCCTCGGCCTCCTCTGCAGCGTGTTTGCTCTGTGGTCACACCACTGTCCCCAGGTGCCTTTTCTCCGGTACTTCTGGAATTGTCCTCTCTGCCGAGCCGTACACATTGGTTACTCTGCTTTTGCCAGGGCAGGGCCACTCGCTCCTCTGCATGTCTTCCTTGCTTGATCCTGTAAGTGGCTTTATCTGTAGTACTGGGAATTGAACTCGGGGTCCCACACATGCTTGGCAAGCTTCTACCACTGAACTATACCCCAACCCTTTTATTTTTTATTTTGAGACAGTCTTGTAAGTTGCCCAGGCTGGATTTGAACTTGTGATCCTCTGATCCTCCTTCCTTGACCTTCCAAGCAGCTGGGATTACAGGCAGTGCACCACCACACCCAGACCGGAAGTGGCTTCTGGAATGAATTATTGGGAAAGGGAAGGGGTTGTACCCTAAGTGCCATCTAGAATTCATTTAGACATTAAAAGCCAGTGAGTGCCAGCAGGAGCAGAGTGCTGAGCAGCACAAGCACAGAGGTGGTGGCTGTGCTCCTGGTGTCCCCCAGACATAGCTTGAACTGCAAGAAATGGATGCTTTGGAGGGAATGTGATTCGTCAGTGGGAGGCATTGGCAGCTGCTTTGCCTGCCAAGGATGTGTGCTTTATCTCCCTAGCCTTTGGGCCTCAGCCTGGTCCCCTGGATCAAGCAGAGAGGTGGGATCCTAGGTCCTTGCCCTGCTGGCCACAGCAAGGCCAGCTCAGGGATGGGCCAGACTGCAAACGGCCAAGCAGCATTCTGCCTTGGGATCGACACACATGAATGCTAAAAGAAAGATACTCGCTTTTCTTCCACTGGAGGTGGCCGGCAGCCACCACCCTCCCAGCCTTCTTGAGGATGCAGTCTCTAGGACAGGAGGAAGCCAAAGAGAAACAGACCAATATGACAGCACTGGGGCACCTGGATCCAGCCGTGCTTGACCTCCACGCTATCCATTCCAGGGTCCTGAACTAGTAAATCATTCTTAGCTGAAAAAAAATATGCCTTGGGTTTTTGTTACTCTTTCCAAAAGCTCTTTGCTGTTCCAGCCATGCCCATATCTGTAGATTTTGTTGGTGTCTGCACTCTAGGCATGGAGACAATGTGGAATCCGTGTTCCCCACCCCCTAGAAAAAGTGTAGGACTGGAGTGAGCCCTGTACCTCCATCCTGGTGGGCCATGCCATCCCACCATGATGGGCCCGAGTGCAGGACGGCAGCCAGTGTGAGCTGGCCGCACAAGGTCTGTAGCACTGGCAGGGTGCATGAGGATGCCAGTGCCGCCACCCCTCGAGTCACGTCACCTTCCAACCTGCCTGTGCATTTTTAAAGTGGATCGAAACAGTCACCACCTCACTGGCTGTACAGGTTAGGATGCTGAGCAGTAGGCAGCATCATGCCCTGGCATGGTCTGGGTCCTGGGGGGTGGTCTCTGTGGCACTGTCCCACACCATGTCTAGCTGTGGCCATTGTACCCTGGTTCCCCATGCACAGAGCTTTCTCCCCTTCCCCGCTGACCACCGCTCTCCCGTCGGAGACGTTCTCCTAAAATGTCAGAATTCACAGTGGCCACATCCAGACTTTTCCATTCCTCATCCCAGAAAGACTCCATTAGGAAAATGTAGCTGGCTGCTTGAAAAACCTCCCCGCGTCTGGCTGGACAGGTTTGCCTGAAGAAAGGAAAACAGCACCCAGAGATAGACGTCTCCCTGGCCGGCAGGTGTGAGCTTGCGGACAGTGTCCCACAGGCTGCAGCCCTTCCAGGAGGAGAGCGGCTCAGCGTGGGCTCAGCACAGGTGAGGAATCCTTCGGTTGTGGGGACCAGCCTCGAAGGAGGTGGGGATCAACCTCGGCCTCTGGAGGCTGCATGGAGGAGGCCCTGCCCTTTGCTCCCCAGGTGATGAGGGGGCATGTGGCCAGCTGCTGTGCCTGGCTTTGGAGAAGATTGTCCCTGATGTGCATCCCCGTGTCAACCCTCCATGCCTGTTTCCTCATCTGTAAGATGGGGTCATAGGGTTGCAGTGAAGATTAAACACGTTGCAGGCACAAGGCCCTTGCACAGCGCCTGGCTTGCTTCCTCGTCCTCATCTTGCAGAACTACAGTGAGAAGGACCAGGCAGCCGCAGTAAATGGCCACACCTGCTCAGACAGTTGGGCCAGAAAACGGTCAACAGCCTGCAGAAGTCGCTGGTCCCAGCCCTGCTCAGCGCGGGTGCCTGGCGTCCTCTCAGGTGACACAGTGCACTGCCACTCTGCGCCAGGAGGGTTGGGCACTGCAGCCCCACGCAGTGTTTACCTTGGTTTGTTTGGGGCGCTACCCAGGGGGACAGGGCCAGTGGGTTGCTGGGCACTGCTCTGCGCTGGGAAGTTTGGGGACCAAGTTACAACCTTGGCACATGAAATTGTGTTCTGTGCCAGGGGCATGGCAAGAGCGCAGCCTTATTTGGGCTGGAAACTTCTTTGCATGGAAAGGAGTGGGGCCGCCAAGCAGTCTCTGTATGGGCAGGCAGAGAAGCGGCCAGTGCTTACTGTCCCAGGTCGGGCTTCCAGCTTATAGATTATTTCAGCCTCTACCACAGCTCAGTGCTCTGCTGCCGTCAGCTGCCAGAGGGGCTCAGCAGCTTCACTGGGGCATATTTGTCGCTTCTGAATACTCACCTGTTAAGTGTGCAGTTTGGTAATGTGTAGGAAAGGCAGGGCTTTGGCTGCACTGTGTGGGAGCGTGTGTTTTCACTTTCTTGAGTGGATTCTTAGATCTGGAATTGCTGGGTTGTATGGTGAGTTTAGGGGAGGTTTTTTGTTTGTTTTTGTTTTTGTTTTATTGTACGGGGATATAACTGTACAAGGGTGTTCTACCACTGAGCTCCAGCTCCAGCCCTTTTTGTTTTTCATTTTAAGATAAGATCTCTTGCTGGGCTTGGTGGCGCACACCTGTCATCCCAGCACTTGGGAGGCTGAGGCAGGAGGATTGCTGTGAGTTCCAGACCAGCCTGGGCTACATAGTGAGTTCCAGGTCAGTCTCAACTACATAGTGAGACCCTACCTCAAAAAAAGCCAAACAACAGCAACAACAAAAAGATAAGGTCTCTTGCCAGGTTGCCCAGGCTGGCCTCGAACTGGCCATTTTACATTCCTACCACGTGTTACAAGGGTTTCAGTTTCTCTACACTCTTACCAAAATTTGGTATTGTCTGATTATTATTATAGCCACTCCAGTACTTCCTGGAATCTCATTGTAGTTTTACTGTATGTTTCCTTAAAGACTAATGCTATTTAGCCCCTTGTTATGTGCTGAGGCATTCAGTATCTTTTATGATGAAATGCTGAGTCCCGCATCTTTGTCTCGCCAGAGGAGAAATAGAACCCAGGGCCTTGTGTATGCCAAGCATGTGCTCTACCACTGAGCTACATCCTCAGCCTTTGGTCTGTTTTTAAGGTGAGTGGTTTGCTAACAAAGGGCTAGGAATATAGCTCAGTGCAAAGGCATGGACTTAATGCCCAGGACTGAAAAAAAAGTTGTCTTATCATTGAGATGTAAGGTGTCTTCATATCTTCTAGATACAAGTCTTACCAAATGTCTTGGCCTGTGATTTAATTAGATTTTTTTTTTTTTTTGAGACAAGGCCTTGCTATCTAGTTTAGGCTGCCCTTGAACTTACCATGTAGCCCATGCTGGCCTTGAACTTGCACTGATCCTCCTGCCTCAGAGATTACAGGCATATGCCATCACCCGCAGCTTGATTTTCTCAATACTCTTTATGGGAGTGCAAAGTTTTTGATTTTAATGAAGTCCAATTTCCAGGGGTTTTCTATGGCTGTTCTTTTATTTTGTTTATTTGTTTTTATTTTTATGTTTTCAGATTTTTGAGACAGGGTTTTGCTTTGTAACCCAGGCTGGCCTCAAACTCACAGCGATCCTCTTGCCTCAGCCTCCTAAGTGCTGGGGCTACAGGGGTGCACCACCGTGTCCCTGGCTGGTTGTGCTTTTATTGATGTGTCCAAGATCTTGAAGATCTTCTCTGTTTTCTTTAACATATTTTATAAGTCTAACTGTTCAGAGCTGTGATCTGTTCAAAGTGAATTTTTGTGGGTTGTTTGTTGTTGTTTGTTTTTGTGTGTTGTTAGTCTTTTGTCTTCGTGACACAATGCCTAAGAAGAGCCACCTAACGGAGGAATGATTT